ATTTACACCTGGGATTATTTAGAAAGATATACATGCTGATATACAGAACAGGCACAGTATACATCTGTGTAAGCAACAAATGCATGTGCAAACATGCAACCACCTGATCCTCTGTAGCCAAAGTAAAGGCCTGGCGAGAGAAGAAGGAAATGTTCTAGCATGACGTTGTGGGAGGCACTGCTCACAGTTCAGCAAAATCCCTGTTTGATGGCATAATGGCATTGACTCATTTTTTATCTACTGCTAGGAGATACACAGTGAGATATTATCGTTGCTGGCAAAGGAATGAAGGTCGAGAGTTTCGTGCAACCAGCAACCCACTCGTTGGCTTCACGAGCGTGTTATGACGAGCAGCACTGCCTGTATAACCCAGTCACTCTGCAGAGTCACTGGGAGTAGGACAGGTCCAGATCTGAATCCTTCTGAGGAAACCAGGAGACCTTTCCTCTGATTTTTAGAGAAATTGATGTGCTCCTTTGACCCTTGACAACAAAAATAATCTTGGCTGGTGTGTCGTTGTGACGTCTATAGCAGGAGCACAGGCCAAAGCTCACAAATTTTCTGACTTGTTACACAGGCAAATTCCCTCTTGCTACAAAGACAGCTTCCCTGTTAGTAGATAAGGAAAAAATAAGATGGTTTTCTTTTGTTATGTTCTTCTCCTGACAAACTCTGCTGAAGGAACACAGACATAAAACAAGGTTTAGAGTGGAATACCAACCATGGATAAAGCAAACTTCAGGACCTGCCTGCCTGTATTCATCTTAGGTATAGCTGTGGTTTTCTAGCTGCTTCTTTAATGAAAAAGTGTGATAAAAATAAAACAAATCTCCATTCATTGTGCATGCATATCTCCATGGATTTCACAGCAGGAATTTGGTCCTCTGTGTGTATACATACTATTAAGTTACGATTCCATTAGCAAATTAAATAACCATGTATTAAGAGGAAGGCAAGGGTTAGGGACTGGTTTACTCCTGTAAATTTGCCAACTTGGCCTGGCAAAGTGAATGTTCTGACTCAAGTCAGACTGGATCAAGAGAAGCATCAGTTAATGGAAGAAAGACCATGCAGAGTCTGCAGAAAGGCACACTGAAAAAGGTCAAATACTTCAAACGTGGACACTGGCAGAGAAGAACGAGTAAGATGGAGCAAGCAAGTCAGGACTCTGAATTAAAGCAGTTTGAAGTGAAGTGGTTTGTAGGAGAATCTGGCCCACAGACCTTGAGAAACTCAATCTCCATCTGGTTTCACTGGTCATCACTGTGAAAATTCATGATAATATGATTACCTTTTAAGATATGGTGCATTTTGAACTGTTAGTTTTGGTCACCTGCAACACTTAATAAATGGGAAGCAAACACCAATAACAAAAGCAATAACATATCTATTACTTTCAAAATATCACCACCCACTCTAAATCTACATCTTAGAGCATTTTTTAGACAATGCTAGTCATAGTGTACAGTGGTTAACTGTATAGGGCTCATTCATTCCTGTTCAAAACTACAAGCATGACTACAACTGAGGATGTATCAAAAGGAAATAAGAAAATTATCTCTGGGCAATTACTGAAGAAATGGTACTTGACTGTAAAAGAAAAGGTGGAATAATGTTACATCTTTGCAATAAAAATAACTGCGCACATCATAGAGGAAGTAAAAAAAAATTACTTTAAATACAGGCAACCGTTACCTGTCTGTGTAGCTCATGGATATGCCAACATTTAATAAGAACAAAAAAAACCCAGGAAAATAATTAGGGTATGCATCATAGATAGTATTAATCTCATTGATTTATTGAAGACATTCATCATTCTCCTCTTGTCATTACAATGCAATCTTTGTTGTAAATCTTGGTTTATATTATCAGCGATCATCCATGTACCTTGCCAGTATGAGTGATCGACACTTAACAGAATCAATGGATGTCAGTGCCCTTCTGGGAGTGTGCCCTGTTTCTCTCAGCAGTAGCCACTGATTGGCTACTGAAGACACTGGATAGTAAACACTTTGAAATTAATGAATTTGGGGAAGTCGAATACTTAATTTGTATTGATTGTGCAAATGTCATTGCTTTGCTCTTCAACAGCCTGTCCGGAATGTCCTATAAAGCCATATTCATCACTGGACAAATACATGTAAGTTAAAATAAACAGTAGAGGATCTGCAGAAATTATTTAGGTTTTCACCTCCTACTTGTGATGTAGCTCAAACCTAACTAAATTAGCCGTGATTGAGAATCATCAACACACAAATGACATTTTTCTCCTCAACCTGTATTCTCCACCTGATTCTTGATGGGGAGAAACCTGATGTCAAATAATTTGAAATACACTGGTTGGAGCATGCTTAGGCCTAATCTTTTGGGCAACAGACCCTGGAAATCAAGTCATCTCCTGCAAAAGTCAGTAATGTGACAATACGACACAGACTGGATTAAAACCTAGAAGAAATGTCCTAATTTTAGACAATGGAATTTAGCTTTTAGTTTAAGTTGCATGTTCACGAAAAAACCCAACATAGTTACTTTTAATATTGTTGCTTACTCTGAAAGTCACAGATAATTAAAAGAAAAAAAATATATATTTCCCTGCACAGCTACATCTGGTCCTTTTAAGTTATACTGTAGAGACTTATGAACAGTGAAGATGATGATGTAATTTACTCTTGGCCATAATAAACCTTAGACTCCAATGTTATGATCTCACTTTTTTCATGAATATTAGAAAGAAAAGAAAACATCAATCACCATCTGTAGATGTGAATATTTAGATCTTTTCATTAGGAAAATCATATCAGGCTCCTTTTAAGCCAAGTAGCTGTGTGCCTAACCGATCTTATTTCCATTTTTATCAGTTTTACCTTTGTGTAACATTGACTTCAGCAGACACTTGTCTTTACACCGCAGTCACAAAGGACAGAATCATACCTATGTGAGTTCAAACCAAGAAAGATGAAAAAATTACAAAGGTTTTTGACAGCTATATTATAAGAAAAATGATCAGATACAGATGACAACAAAGCATTTCTAGCCAAGAGAGTTCTAAGACAAGTTAAGCAATCAATCATCTACATCACTCACTATTCAGTGAGTCGACATTCAACATCTGAATCAGTCATTACAAAGTAAAGAGAATTAGTAAAGTCTCTAACAAAATGCAAATAAATGAACCGGAGGACAATAGAGTCAAATTCTAGAACTTGGCAGGAAGCCAGAAGAATTATTTTGACAAGACTGCTTGGGGTGATTTGATTGTTTCATTTAAAAGAAAAAAAAAAAAAGGAAAAAAGAAGGGAACTTCAGTCTCCAGCAGTACAAGTTTTAAAAAGTATACTGTGATACAAATGTATAGTTATATTTAGTGAGAAAAAGTGTAGAATAATATAGTGTGTGCTGTGATGCTTTGCTTTGCGAATTAACTCTTTTTGGTGCTAGTGATAGTTTTTTCAAATAAATGCAAAGAACACCAGAGCAAAGCTAGCCCAAATGTTATGCAACTCTCAGTGTTATCTTTGTCTTCCTTGAATATGTTGCCTACTAATGCTTTCCATTTCAGAGTATCAGCCTGCTTCAAAATCCACCTGGTATAAGTGAACATGAAAAATAGGTTTAACATCTGCGGGACTACAAAGATGCAGGTGCTGAAATTCTGTAAATTCATGTGTACTACTATTATGTAGGTTCAAAAAAGCCTCATCTAACATACACCTTGTTCTTATTAAAATAAAATAAGGGGGGGAAAAGAGGAAAAATAAGATTAAAAAAAAATAAGCAGCAACTTCTGTTTTAACAGCAGTTTCTCCTTGATTTTTAACAGCATAGGGGATGCTATCTTACACTCATTCCTCGGTTGGAGTAATGATGGAAAATGGGAGGGATCTTACCAAAAACCAAAAAGTCATAGCAGGTAGCTGCACTGTTAGACAAATCCTAGACATCCTCAGCTTGCACATATGGCAGAAGTAACACAAATATTAGATACATGAAGCTTGGACCATCAGCCCTTGCATTGGATGTGTTCAGTCCCTTTCTCATCTGTCCTCCTGGGTCCATCAATGGAACTGCTCCTGTTCCTAAAACTGCATGTTTGCCTTTGTATGTCCCAAGGTCAGGGCTTGAACCACATAGGATTTGCCATCACCAGGAATCTTTCTTATTGATGAATTAGTATGCCTTAAAATGATAGAGATGGTTTGGTTTTGGTCCTGATATGAATGTAGATAGACAGGAATAAAGAAGGAGTGTTTTCATGAGTATTTGTACTAATATAGTCTACATTATATTATGGCAAAAATATTTTTCAGCAGTTTCAGAAAAGTATGTATGACTTTGTTAATGTTTGAATAGCTAAGATGCTGAGGATCCTTGTACTTAAAAAATCCTATCAAGTGCAATGGCTCTGTGAGGAGCATGAGAGCTAGAGTATCACTCTTAAGTTTAACAGAAGTCAAGTTACCTTCACTAGCTTCATTCTTGTTCCAAGCGAGGGAACAACATGCTGCCTGTGTCAGAAAGCTCAGAAGAGAATAATACATGTAAGAATAGATGTTACATCTTATTTCCTCTCATCAGCTGGTCATTCTTGTAACTTATGGATCTGTATGAAATAGTTTTTTCTGCTGGAATTAGATTTTGTGTTTAGATGTGTTTTTTATCAGCTGGTTATCCTCAAGTTTATCCTTGCAAATCTCATTGATTGAACAAAAGTGAACTTTGTCCAACAGTTGATGAGCTGCATGGATAGAATTTTGCCACCTAAAAGTTCGTACAGGCTTTTAATTGATTTTGCTGTTGTTTTGACCTTTGTGTAGAGCTGAATCTCACAACCAGTTTCAGTACTTGAAATAAAAACAGTCAAGTGCCCAGGTACGTAATGCTTTCACTGGTTCCTACTCACTGAGCATAAATTCCTAAAATGGTATCTTATACAAGTCAAAATATAAGTCTGTATTTCATTTGACCGTATTAACAACAAAAGTATTCCCTTTGTCTTACAGAAATGTTGGAATCCAACAATATAATCAATTTCAATGGACTAGCTAACAGCTCCAGTTACCACACTTTCCTCTTGGATGAAGAACGGAGTCGGCTGTACGTTGGAGCAAAGGATCACATATTTTCCTTCAACCTGGTTAACATCAAGGAATATCAAAAGGTACATTCATTCATGTTCTGTGCAATGTAAATATATACTTTTAATGTTGAAGACTTGTTATTACTCAGACTATGTTGTGCACTGTTGGAATTATGTAGTAAGTGTTTGGATGTCAGGAATACTATTACAATGAAAATATTTGCTGACTCTATGAAGAGAAATTTATAATGAGCCTATGACCTTTGACAGTATAATCTGCAATATTTTTTTCAGACTACTAAAAAAAAGTAAAGGATAAGTGAATAATCCAGCTATTTCCCAAACAAGACATACTTTCATGTGTACTGCTAAAAAGCCAAACATCTCTTATGACAATTTGCACAGAAAGGCCTTATTGCTCTGTATTTGTTTGCAGATAAAACAAGCTGTTTGAGAGTTCAGTGTTGATTTTTCTTCTTTAACCCAGCACTTGTAGGACCTCTGCTTCTGCTGCTTTCAAATCAAAATGGTTTCAGTATTAATAAAAGAGGAATAAGTCAGTAAAATATTGCCATTCTTGATGAAGAGTATAATTTTCCAATAAAAGTTGGTGACTCATTAAAAGCTGACAAATAGTTTAGTGTCATTCTTCTGTTGGAGTCTAAATAAATAATTTAATTTTTCATTTATTTTAATAAGACAAAATACCAAGAAGGTAAACAATGGGATGGAGGTTTGATTTGTTATATTAAGTATTTTGATGGCACACTTTTAAAATCCAGAGAGTACCCTTTTATGAGAGATATATTGCTTTAATACCCAGGGATTATTTTTTTTTCTTGGTGTTCCTGACCTTTTGGCCGTTTGACTATTAGCTTCCTAAGATGATAGCAATAAATACCTTGTGTTTTCTGTTCAGAGGGAAGACAGGCTATTCATTTGTATTCTCTAAGGATAAAAGGATAAAAGGAAAACTGGGTATTTTCTTTTCTATTCTCTTTAGAGCAGCTATAAAGGAAACTAGCTATTTATTTGAATTCTCTGAGGGATCAATAGCTTAATGTGCAAAACATCTGGAATAATTAAAGGAAAGAAGGTGTTTCCATTGCAGAAAACAGCTCTGTAGAATGGGAGCAATTGTGTCTTACATACTTACATATTTAGATACCTTTAGAACACTCTTTGATTTTATATACAAATACTAAAATATTAAATAAAGAATTGCTACCGGTAACATGAAAATGTATGTTAGCAACAGACTTAGAGAAAAGACTTAGAATTTAGACTTTAGGTTTAAGAATAGGCAAAAGGCTTAAAGAATTTGGAGATCTGTTTATTATAGACAGGAGAGTTGTGTAAGAAACTTAAATCAAAATTACAATGCAGCCAGTGCTGAACTTGAGCTCAAAATTTACCGGTTGTTTCTTCTGCCATGTAAAAAAACCTCTCAGTTTTCTGTCTAAATGCTTGTGGCAACATCAAAACTCAAAAAGCCAAATCTTTCAATTTATTAAAAAGAGATCGATTTAGCTGTCTTTTAAACCAAATTTGAGGAAAATATTGTGCTGTGAGACTAAGGAAAAAGAACATCTAGAATACTGTTTTTAAAAATATTGAAATTTTTGCCCAAAACTTGAACTGAACTTGAACTGGTCCTTTTGGGAGATCTGAGAAGTTTGGTTAATGTTTTTCAATGTAGTAAATTTTAATTTTTGCGTGTCTCTGCACGTTTTAAGCTGAGAATAGCAACAGGAAGTAGTGGGAATCCTTTGAGAGAGAATGTGCTCATAAAATTTTCAGCCTTATTTTGTAGACTTAACATGTTTGTTTGTGTTTGAATTTCATTAAGTTTTAAGAAAATTTTGAATTTGAAAATGTTGCAAATTGTATTTTCAAATGTCACATATAACGTCTCCTTTGACCTCTTCTGTCATCCATGTTCATCCTTCTTTCTTTTTGTTTTTTTTTTCATTAATATTTTGCCTTTTGCTTTCTATATTGAACACCAAGACTGTAATCCAGACTTATGGCCATTCATATTGCATTATCTGAGGCTCCCAAATGAATAGCCTTGCATTTTATGGGAAGATCATGTTTTATTCTATATGTAATTCCTAAAAGCTTTTCAAAGAAACATGAATAATTGACTGTGAGGGTCGCTTGATTTTCTCTGTATGAGGTGAGATCCATTTTCTGCAAAAACACTACAGCAAATCCTCAGGTTTAGGATTAGTTGTGTTAGGGCTGCTCTATAGGAACAGCATAAACATTTCTATTTTGATGGTGTGAAACTTGTCAAATCCCATGGCTTCTTTTTATTATTTAATTAACTAAACCTAGCAAAAGAGTAAACTAGTAGATACACTAAGAGGCAAGCAGCTCATTTCCGATGCTGTAACTAATGTGTGATCGAATTTCACACAGATCCCATTTATTGTTAGTAAGTATCTGCAATTTTTTGCTCTTAGTCTCCATTCCATGAGATTTAAAACATTGAAAGAACATTCACTTAATGGAGAGTCAACCGTCTTATCATTAGTATTCGAGATTCACAGCTGAAATTCACAATACAGACTATATTTCAAGATTGTTTTTACTGTGGCTCCTATTATCCCTGTTTTGTTCCCAATATTACATTTATTTGTCGTCAAATTTTAAGGAAGAAAAGGGAATAAGGAAAAGAATGGGGGAAAGAGAAACTGGGTAAAGGCACTCTAGCATTCGGCCTGCAATTTGTGAATATTGAAGCATGTAATAACACAATCTGATTTTTGTTTTGTGTCTTTAGATTGTTTGGCCTGTGTCTCATTCCCGAAGGGATGAGTGCAAGTGGGCTGGAAAAGATATTGTGGTAAGTACAAATCTTTTTAGCATTTTTTTTCCTTTTATAAAACATTGTAAATATTTTATTATGTCTTACTGTGTTAATTCTTAAAGTATTTTTCCTACTCTGTAAGGTCACACATCTGATCATAACTTCAGTCTTGAGTTTTCTCAGTTGTCTTATTCAACATAATGACATTTTGTCTTCATGACCAAGGGTTTAAATTTATAAGTGGAAATCATGTAAATAAATAGAATTTATCTACCAAAAAAAACCCCAAAAAATATCAGAATGAGAAATATTAACCCTTGAATACTCATCTCCTGAAGTCAGGACGCGTAATATTTTGACCTATTTTTTCCCTGCTCCAGGTTCCAGTCCTACAGTGAGCTCCAAGAAGTGCTTTTTCTTTGTAGTATCTCTCTGGAGTCAGAGGGTTCCCCTGAGCTCTTTCCTTCATGGAGTTCATAGCAATATTGAGGTCAAAGTGTTTTTAACATTCTATATTAGTTTTGGTGCCTCAGGAAGGACCCTGTTACACTAGCCATCATTTTCTTTACATTTTCCCTCATTCCTGTGTACATCATATTCCCTGTATTTATGAGGTAGGAGAGACATAGCCGGTAGCCCCCAAATAGCAATCATTCCACACTGATAATAACTGTCTTCTGTATAGGAACAGAATGGGAAATAGGAGGAAAGGGCTGAAGAAGGGGGAAAGCAGATAAAAAATACATGCCTGCAATAAGCCAAACAAATACTTGCATAGCAAAGCCAAATGGGAAATCATTGTGGTTGCCAAGGTATAAGTGAGAGTGGAACTTGGCCCCGTGTGGATATGCTATTGGCCTGATTTTCAGAGATGATTCTGTAAAATATTCATAATGCCAACCATATGCCTCTGGAGAGCTCCATTTGAATAATTTCCTAGGTCATAATAAAAATAGTTTCATCAGTCTTTACCTAGGCCATAGAGGACAGTTGTCTTCATAAAAAAACCATTTGGGAACAGTAGAGGTGGATTAGGTGAAAACTAGGAAATATAGGCTGAACTATATATGTGAAGGGACAGCTGAAGTGCCAGATATTTAGGCTATCTCATTACATAAAAATAATACATTTAAATTAATTCATGTTCACAAATAATTTTCAGGAGTCCTTTACAAGCTGAAGCCTAGAATATCTAATATTCAAGGTTAAAAAAAAAGGCTAGTGTTAAATATGTGAGAAAATTAACTAGCCTTGCCACTTGATCTTAAATGAAGTATTATGATATTACATTAAGTAGATTTATTAATAGCTGGGGTAAAAACCTAGAAAATTAGTAGGACATTCAGTGCCTAAAGTGAAAGTATACTCTTTTATTTTGAATAATTATTTTCAGAAATTCACAGTAGTAAGAGTATGCTTTATGCATTGGACCATACTGATTCTAATGCAGTTGTTGAAAATCATAGAGGTGCATGTTCTGGAGTAAGCTGGGAAGTTCAGGTCCCCATCCTCTGGCTGTGCTAAGCTTGAGAGGACTGTTTATGCTGTAACTTCTGTTCACCTTGATTCCTTTGCTTCCTGTAATATTAGGACAGCTACACCTGCTGATCACGAGCAGAAAGTGAAGCCCATACCACACAGCAGTGCAGTGTGTGCCCCTGGCACATGAGCTGCCTGCTATGATCCTGTGCATTAGGAGCAGCACTGCCATGAGCTGGTGGGCAGAACAGGAGCACAGAACTCAGCACTCAGTGCAGCCCAGACTGAGAGTAACAGCACTACAGCAAAATGTTGCTAGAATCTGCTAATTTGTTTTCAGAAACATTTTTCACATGTAGGCTTGTTGGTGCTGGTTTTGCTTTCCTTTTTTTTTTTTTTTTAATTTTAGAGTTCTCTACAAGAGTAGGTGAGAAATTAAAATAAAATAAACTCATACGTCATATGTAATGTGGATCCAGTTTCAGTAGGCAGCTAGAAAGAGGGAATACATATCTTGATGTGTTCAGAACATCATCTTTAAATATTTACAGCTGCTTGTTCTTGCCATAAAACAGTGCATTACAAGCAACATATTTAATGCAACTGCTTTAGCTGTAATTACAGATAAAGATTACAGATCATTTAACAAACTTATTATTCCTCCCTTATTTATTCCTTAAAGCCATTGTTGGTACCTTGGGAGTGTGAAATATAAAGACCATAAAAATAACTCAACAGACTCTCATTAGTGGGAATAGGAGAAATAGAGGACAAATACAATGACATACAAACCATGTTTGATTTAATACTGCTTTCAGCATGTACCACTTCTGAGATACTGTATACTCTTCACTTGTGATGGTTCAAAACTTTCCACATGACAGTCTATACTTCTACATTGAGGTCTTATTTAAAAAAAAACAACTTTTAATTATTGATCTCCAGGGTAAGTCAGTGCTGAAAATGCAAGTCCCCACTAATGGGCCAGGTGCACTGCAGCAGCTGCAGCACAAGTGTAACCCTGGCCCTGCCCCACTGCTAACCTCAGCTATGGCCTCAGAGATTTCCTCTCATAATTATAAGGGGTAATTTACCATCGTTTTCACTCCTTCAGAGGGATTCCTTATCCTGATGCTGTCAGTCATACCAATCCAGGCACAGCAGGTTTGTGGCTCAGGACAGTCCATGCGGGATTTGAGGAGAGCAGCCAACGGGGCCTGTTCCCGCTCTCCTGCTACCTCTTTGTTACTTAAGCAGTCATTTCTGTTTCTTAAAGGGCTTACTATATGTTAATTACTCAAGCTTTACTCACTGTACAGATAGATAAAGTTTTTAAAGTATGCTTTGGATCTTTTTTTCGTATGAGTAAGCTGAGAAGAGATGCTGGAAGACTCTCCCCCCAGCTATGCAATACCTACTTACAGCAGGACTTCTCTGACAGAGGTTAACTGCTACACTTTCCCACAAAATACAGATTTTTTCCAATAAAATCATAATTACTCTCCGATGTAAGTACTTAGTAGTACAATATATTTCCATTTCCTCAGTATAGAGTATCACAAGCACCAAAGTAACGTTGTTCATGAAAAATTAAAGACTATAAATAATAAATAAGATATTTGCTTACGTAATTCATCTAAATGAGCAATTCTGTGAGGATTTCTCGCTATTTTGGACTTCAGTGTTTTATTTGATCTATTCTGGTTTCTGTAAGTCCTGTGAATATTTCTCATGATTCCTGGCCAGACCTTGATAATGATCAAAGACGACAAAGTCTCTACAGAATAATTCTCAGCTTTTATACTAAACTTACAGAACAGTCATGCTGCTAGTCATATTCCTCACCAGTGAGCCTCAATATTTTTGTTTAAAAATCTGACAGTCATCTGGGACCCTGCAAAAACACATGGCAACCTCTGCATTACATGTGGGTTGAATAATAGGTAACTAAAAAAAAAAAAAAAAAAAGAAAAGTGGCTACAGTTCCAGTTTGACATTCCTGGGATATCATAAACCAGCAAAGCAAAGCCTGGGTGATTTACAAAAGTTACCAGAAACACCAGTTAGTTTTGCAAGTAGGGATATGGCAGAAATAGGTTCCTGACTGGAAACCTCATTTAGTCCTTAAACTGTTAATTTACCATTGTTTTAAATATTTTGGCTGCTGTTCAGTTGATACATCTCTGCACTAGATTTTACTGAGGCACCATAACAGTAGTTCACGTTACACAGTTAATCAGAGAAATCCCTTTTAAAGGGTATGATAGATTTCTATGATTTGAAAGCTTAAAAGATGTGTTTCTGAAGGGCACCTTAGGATGTTATTTTCAAGTGTGATTTGACTATCGAATTTATTTAGCCACTTTTAAAGATTCCAGCTCAAATTAAATTGTTTAAATGGTCCTTTCTGGCCTTGACGTGTATAAATCTTTAACATTTCAATAGGTACTTTAGTAAAGCCTCACAGGACAAGCTGCATGATGGCAGGCATTTATATGCATTTTGCATGCTGTATGATATCGGCTTCTCCCTGGATGTTTCTGGTGAGAAGTCTACATTGATGTACAAACAGATGCAAAGAGTACCAAGTACTTGGTACCAGCAAGCTTCTGTGTATGCTCTGTCACATGAATATACACAGTTACGTACATACAGGTCCATACAGCGTTACACTTTTGTGTACACAGCTAAAGTGCATCAGCAAAGTTGTTTGTGGGTAAGCACTGACTGTATTATAATTTATAGGAGATAGGCATCTGCTTGGGTTATTTAATTGCCATTAAATTTTATCTAGTTATTAACTTTTACCTGACTTCAATCGTGATTGATTTTTTTATACTTGATAGTCCTCTTGATGGTAATTTGGAATCACTTTAGATCAAAAACCTATTTCCAGTGAAGAAGCAAGACTGTTTACACTACACGATATAGCCATATTCTGTGCATGCTTCTTTGCATTCAAGTGTGGCTGGCACGTACTTACTGAGTTTATTGTTCATGCAGGTGTAAAAACATGACTGTAATTTAATTCATCATCTCATTTTTTGTGATAATACATAAAGCCAAAATGTTCATATGCCATCTCAGTTTATGCTTCCTTTAAACTTTTCCAGACCCTCCCTAAATTATAGGAAGGGAGGGGATGGATCTACAGAATCACAGAATCATAGAATCAGCCAGGTTGGAAAGGACCTCTGAGATCATCAAGTCCAACCCTTGATCCACTACCGCCGTGGTTACCAGACCATAGGCTTATGGATCCCTCAGTGTGTAATGATTTAATTTGGAAAGAAAGAAGAAAAAAAGAAGAAAAAAGAAAAACAAAAACTAGAAAAGAAAAAGTTGTGTGTAACTCAGCAAGTGTCCCTCAGCCATATCTGGTGATACTCTGGAAAAACAAAGTTGGCAATAAATGAGCACTGTTCCCTTTAACTCATTTTATTACTGTAGCTGCCTTAGGGAAAATAGAAGAACATGGAGGCAGAAAGTAAAAGTAATTCTTTTCATCTGTTTTTGTAAACAAAGATCTGAAGACAGAATCTGAAAATTAAATATAT